CATGTGAGGACGATGGGGGCTCACCTGGGCAAAGGCGATGAAGAAGAGCTGGTCRTGTGTGTATTTCATGTGGTGCAGGGGGTGCTCGGGGCCGTGCTCCCGCACCCACTTCTGGTAGGCCTGGAGAACAAGGGGTGCCCTCAGCATGGCCTGGGCACTCCCCCAAACCCGCCCTGAACCCACCCCCAAGCCCCCAGCAACCAGGATGATGCCCACCCCCTGCTGCAGGGRGCAAGGAGGGGCTGGGGGATCCCCTCCCCATTCAATGGGATGGTGTCAGCAGCTGCCCCATGGCTGTGACACTCAGGGTAGGGGGACACTTACGTAGTAGGCGAGTTTGAGCCCTCCCATGTCAGCGATGTTCTCCCCCAGTGTGTGTTTGCCGTTCACCTGACAAGAGAGCAGAAATGATGGGGTGAGCAGAGGTGTCCCCCAGCCAGGCACCTTCCCGTCCCCATCCTGGCACCGAGGAATTTCCAGGCTGAGATGAGTTGCTGGGTCTCTCTTGGGCTGGGCAGGGCAGAGTCAGTTCCCCTGCAGGCAGCCAGCCCCAGCGATGGAGCAGCAGCGTGGGGCAGTGTGTGCCCTGCTGGGCATTGCCCGGCAGTGAGGGGGTCTCACCCTCTGGTTGTAGACGGTGAAGTTGTCGTAGAGGTTGACGATGCACTGCGCCTTCTTCAGGAACTTGCTGTACGACCGCTCCGTCCACCAGTGCACCAGGTTCCCATGCCGGTCATACTGTCCCCCTGCCAAGGCAATCGCCACCTCCCATAGCCCCAGGGGACYCAGGAGTCCTGCCTGGCTGTCCCAGCCCACCCACCTCACATYCTGGAGGGACGTGGAGGGGACACTCACCCCAGTCATCGTAGCCGTGGGTCARCTCGTGCCCAATGATGGTGCCAATCCCCCCATAGTTCAGGGACCTGTGGGGTGGGGAACAGAGGTGGCAGGGTGGAGAGCACGGTGCTGGCAGGGATGGGGGTGACCCCAGGACATGGCAAACCCCTGACCATCCCCCATTCCCCCACTCACTGCGGGAACTCGGGGTCGTAGAGGGTGGGCTGCAGGATGCCAGCGGGGAACACTGGGGACACAGGAGAACATTGCACTTGGGGGTTACCCTGCCCTGTACCCACCCGCAGCATCACCCAGCGCCAGGGGATCCTGGGCCATGTCCCCATCCCAGATCCTGCCCGCTCCTGTCCCAGGGACAGGCAGTGCTCACCCATCTGGTTCTTGTTGGGCAGGTAGTAGGCGTTCAGAGCCTGGGGAGGCAGCAGCCACCTGCAAGGAGAGACAGCAATGTTGGGCTGAGGGACACCAAGGGACATGGAAGTGCCACCCCCTTGCACAGCTGGGGAACAGGGGGACACTCCTGGCCTCCCTGTGCCCTTCTGCCTACACCCTGTGGGGTGCATCCAGGCATGGGGACAGGGGGCATTGGTGGGGCCATGGTGTGTCACTCCCTGTGCCCCCAGGGCAGGGGATACCCACGTGGACTTGTCCACCTCCTGCCGGATCTTCTTCACCGAGAGCCTGATGCTGAAGGCGATGCTGTTGAGGATGTTCTTGAAGTATGTCTTCTCGTCCACCTCAAACTGCAGGGGACACAGCCATATCAGGGGACAARCCAGCCCTGAGAGTGGAGAGCAGGGCTGTGGGGTCCTTCCACCCTGTGAGCCTTGGTGACAGAGAGTGTGGGACTGTGTGGGTGTGTCACAAATGTTCTCATGTCCCATGCTGTGTGCCACAGGGGCAGCTGCTTCTTTGTCAGCTCTGTGGGGTCCCTGGGCCGTGCTGGCACCCCCAGCCCTTGCTGAGGATGGGGCTGAGCTCTGGGGGCTGTGATGTGGGGAAGGAGACACCATCCCAGAGCCCAGGGACTGGATGGCACTGCCCGTGTGGGGAGCCCTGCCAACACTGAGCACCAGGAGGGGCTTATTTTGGGGTGACCTCTCCACAGACCATCTCCCCCCATCATGTGCCCAGGCCCTCATGTGCTCCTGGGCTATCCCTTGCCTCATACTCCTTGTCGATGGCCTCTGGCTTCAGGAGGAAATCAGGGTACCCAATCATCACCATCATATACCGGAGCTGTGGGCAAAATGAGTGGTGGGTTCAGGCCCCCATCCCCTGTTCCCTGAGCTGGTGATGGGGGCAAGGACAGGAATGCATGCTAAGGACTGTACCTTGGCCCTGGCCGCTCTCCGTGTCTCCTCATCCATCCAGTCCAGCTCATCCAGGCGCTGGTCAAGGATGTATTTGATGTCCTCCACCAGCTGCTGCACCTRCAGTGGGTCACCATGGTGCTGGCACAGCATCCTCACCATCCACCACCAGCCACGCAGCCCTTGGGGGCCAGCAGGCACTTTGGCAGAGGTGATGGGACATCGTGGTGTCTTCATGCCCATAGGCAGCATCACCTACCTTGGCTTTGCTGGCAGAGGAGAAGTGCTCCTCAACGAAGAGAGCGCCCAGGGCCATGCCGAAGTGCTTGTTGGCCTGGCTCAGGCAGATCTTACCCGGCTCCAGCTGCTTCTCATTYCCCTCCATCTCCTTGGAGAGCTCGTGGATGGCGTCGCGGAAGGGGGTGGAGAGGTGCTCGCTCAGCACCACCACGATGCGCCACAGCATGTAATTGTGAAGGATCCTGTGACAGGGGCAGGATCAGCGCCCAGCACGTCCCCAGGCACAGGGGAGGCTGAAAGCATGCGCCAGGATGGGGACACCCCTGCTCTGGGACACAGCGGGGCACAGGGACAGTGTGCCACCGTGTCCCTCCCTGATGTGTGATGAGGCTGGTGACGGTTAGCACGGGGGGCTCACCAGGTGCTCAGGACTGTGGGGCTCACAACAGTGCCTTTTCCCACAAACTTTCTCAGGTTTCCTATGCCCTGCCCAGCCTTCCCAGAAGGAGGGTGATGGTGGGATGTTCCTGTCACAGGGTGCCAGCTCCCCTCACCTGCTGGGTGTCACACGAATGAGGTCGGACACTTTGTGCATGTAGTCGGTGGCYAGCAGCACCACCTCCTCCTCCTCCGAGAAGTTGTCATGGAAGATACGGTCCAGCAAGCGCTTCCACTTGAGCTGCCAGGGTGGGCATGGTCAGGGGACTCCCTCCAGGCTTTCCACCCTCCCACCACCCCTTCCCACACAGAAAAGCGCAGGGTGGATTCATCATCCTCAAGTGGACTTTCCTGGGTGGGGTGGGCATTGAGGGCATGGGGCAGGGGGCACAGGCAGGTGGGGGACAGGGGTGACAGGCTGGCACYGGGGGTACTCACCGTGGGAGTGATGCGCTGCAGCTCGGCCAGCGTCACTTTGTGGTACATGCTGCCAACGTCCCTCCGCACGTCATCGTACTCGGACACCGTGATCTGCGCAGGGTGGGCATGGCTGTCACCACCCCATGCCCACCTTGAGGGACAGGACACTGGGRTGGGGCACAGCTCTGGGGCAAGAGGGACTACTGACCCACATGCTTCCCACTCCCTGCCCCAGAAACCTCCTGCTGCCAGTGGGAACCTGAGGGCTGGTCATAAGGTCCCCACAGAATTGGGGTATCTGAGGGATGRGGTTCCTCCAGGTACAGACTAGGGTCCCCAAGACCTGGGTGTGGAGTCACAAGGGCCTGCAGTGGATTCACAAAGAGCAAATGCAGGACT